GAAATGCAAATGATGGATTCGTGCAAATGAGGTCTTGAATTTGTTTCTCCAAAGATCCAATGAGTTTGCTTATTTACATTTAGTGGAAAGAAGATGATGTTCATGGTAACTTCTCAATTATTTATTTCTTACCTTAGAGACTTGGTACTTATTACAATTTCTTGGCCATTTATTAGATTGATTAAAGTACCAATATGCCGTACTTTATGTTGTCTGGTATGAAGCTGAACCATAATGCCTTATTGTTTGTTTGAGCTTGATATAAAGCAATCTAATTAAAATTAGATTAGAATATTGTTTCATTATTTTTGTTTTCGGTCTCCATCGTAATGTAAAAAGATTTATACCAAGGTCATGTACTGTTGACGTTTTTTTCAACCAATCACTCGCAACATGCAGAATCTGTATCTAAATATTGACAAAGAATTGTGGGATAGTGAAACCTAAAATAGAGTGATATGAGTTATTCGAGACTACTGATATTCGCTTGTAAAAGTGATTCTGATTGGTTGGAAAGTAGGGCAGATGAAGGACCTTAGTATAAGTGACGTTAGATTACAATTGACCACAAAATAACAAAATGAAATTGTCTTAAAATTAGGTCCCACTAAACTACAAATTATATACAAAGTAACAAAAGATTAAAAACACAGAAAAACCTTAAAGAATATATGTATTTACAATTAATCTTTGATATGACTATGACATCAAGATTCTTACACTCTAACTGACTGAGCTATAGTCCATCCTCTAAATAACATCAAGATCTGTGCTATATGACTACCGTAATTACAGGTTCCACCGGCCTATAGCTGAGGTTCACAACCTTTTTATACGCCCACACTGTCCGTTCACATTTGGTTCGTGCTCACTCTACAGGCTACAATTCATTACAGATTCTTTTGATTTTGATTTTGTGTGTCAGTGTTATTATGAAGATGATCCCTATCGATTTTCATGATAATCTGATAACTATTCACTGAAATATTGTGTCTGACTTGACTTTTCACTCTATTAGCTATATTGTGCAACACGTGCTCACTCTACAGGCCAAGAAATATATATATCATTGAATTTAAACTAATAAAATTTCTTTTATATGAGAAAATCTGTACTTTAGTCACTATAGACTGTTTTATTATTTCTGACAGCTGCCAGTGGGTGTATGTTACCTTGACTCGCAAGCTATCTTTCAGGTAGCAACCCCATTCCATAAACTGGCCATTAGACCCAGTCTAAGAATCAGAATTTTTCAGTTATGCCATCCAATAATAGCACTCACAGCTCACCATAAAAAATTGAGCCTTCAAATCCATGTGTGTTCAGAATTATCAGCTTTTGAAAGTTATAAAGACGAGGTGTCTTTTCAAGAGACAGTGCCATATATAGGAAATACATCTATAGAAAAAGGAAAGGAAATTCCTAGTTTGAGATATTTTTGAAGGAATTATGTGATTTTCTTACATTTCTAATACTTCTGTAGACTATTTACATATATAAACATTCAAATCAACCCCCTAAAATGGCATTTCTGTCCCTTTAAAAAAAGCTAAACAAAATCGTGACTAAGCTCGGAAATTAATTGTTTTAACCTCACATAAAACAATTTATATACATGACAGTCCTTACAAAGAAGAATCTGCAAAATACATTAAGTCTGCATTATTTTTTATTCAAAAAGAAAACTTTTCAAATTACTGAAGTTTTTGTCACCAGATGTTTTTAAAATCATTTGTTTTCATTTCAAATATTTTTTTTTCACAAAAATTCACAATATTTTTTGCAAGTTAAATGTAGGTTAACTTTTTTTTTCATTTCAAATGCCTTTTCTAAAATTAAGAAAATGTTTTTCAAATTAAAAATAGGTTAACTTTTTTTTCCAATGTAAGACTTTTGGTTTAGCTTTATTTGCCAGTATTGTTTAGTTATGATAAAAAAGCTGCTTAAAGATGGATTTCCTTATTTTTTAGTGTCAAATTAAGCAAACTATTTGATAAATTAGTGTTTTAAATGAATTATCATGTATTTTTAATCATATCTTATTGTATATAATTAAGAGTTTTAACCAGTCATAAATGTCCTTGTATGTACAGTCTGGATAAACAAAAAAGACTTTTTGACCTTTCTTGATTGGTCACTCATTGGAATTCTGCTGGTAATTCTCTTATTTTAGCTAATTATGAATTAATCATGGACTTGTGAGACAAACTGTTTTCAAGTCATTAGAACACCTCAACTTTCTATTAATATAAGTATTAGCATTTTCATTTTCATAAATGAAAATAAGGGAACCTATCTTTAAGTTATGAAGGGAAATGCCTACCCTGCGAATGTATTGTGGTACTGTGTGGGGAACAGGGATATTGTAGAACATCTGGTAATGTTTTAATCAACACATTAATGGTTCAGCTTTGTAAAGATTTTAAAGGTTATGCTAAATTTGTCTTTTCTCTTGGTGAAAATTCTGAAGACTAGCGATCTTAAAATGGATCAGAGCAACTCTCATAAAATGTGACATTTTTGATTCTAAAAGTGCCGATATCACATTGGTATATCACATCTGAGGAATACTTAGGCCAGATTTGTCGAGCTACTACATAGGTTGCCTTGTCTGGCAAGCTATCTTTTATTCAATTTCATCTTATCAATAAGGAGCTGTGGAGACTCAGTGAATAAGACGCTTGCCTAACTAACCTGAATGTCCAGGGTTCAATCCTGTCGTAGGTTGATAATAGCTTCAGATCTTCTAACCCGGTTTCCCCCTGTCAGTGATGCAAGTCTAAGAGAAGGTCATGAAAAAAGCATCTAGTTGTTCGAAAAGGGCCATAATCCTAGGCCTTGTGCTCTACAGGCTGTGAACGTTAAAGATCCCTTGACAGTTGGAAATTGAAAAATAGTAGTCTAATGCTACTGTCCTGACAAAATTTCACTCACATTTTTGCAAACTGCACAGTGTCATCCCTCTTCATTAGCTCAAGTAGGTGCAGAAAAGTAGGACGGAAAACTAATATCAATTCATGTCATTTTGAAATTCCATCTTGTGCTACGAAGATTCTGCATGACTTGGAGCCAATTTCATTCTATATCAATAGACTGAATGGAAACAGAAAAACAAGAAAATTGATATGAGTTCGTGTGAAATGAAAGATTATTGTAATATCAGGAAATTACTGGCAACATTTCTTCTTGAACAGACTCTTAAAAAAACAAACTTGATCCAAATACAAGTGACTAGAAAAACATCAGAGATTACAGAAACTTATTACATTATTTCTTTACTGAAATTGATTTTTTTTATACTCAGTGGTAATAATAGATAAATCAAGTACTAACGTTCAGAAAACCTGATATCCAAAACAACAATTTTTTTTATTTTCATGCTGTGTAGGATTAAAGGGATATATCTTATTATTTATTATACATGCTCAAAGAGCTCTAGTTTAAACTGAGTATTGTCTGTTATTTTAAAATAAATATGCGCAGTTAAAAGTTAAAGCATCAATGTTGTTTCATGCAATCACCATTTACACATATACAGATATTTTGAAGTCATCAGCCAATTGGAATATGATAATGTTATAATTGGTTAATTGATAATTTCAGCTCATACACCATGTGATAAGAATGAGTTTTTGTGTGATAATGGGTTGTGTATAATGTTATAATGGGTTTATTTATAATTTCAGCTCATAGACTGTGTGATAAGAATGAGTTTGTGTGTGATAATGGGTTGTGTATAATGTTATAATGGGTTTATTTATAATTTCAGCTCATAGACCATGTGATTAGAATGAGTTTGAGTGTGGTAATGGGTTTTGTATAATGTTATAATGGCTTAATTTATAATTTCAGCTCATAGACCATGTGATAAGAATGAGTTTGAGTGTGATAATGGGTTGTGTATAATGTCAGAATGGGTTTGTGATAAAGATCCTGACTGTGGAGATTTTAGTGATGAAAAGAATTGTGGTAAGTTGTCAATATTTTTTACTTCTCTGTTCTATGAAGTAAGCAGTAACATATTATTTTAAATGATAGAAAATAGTATCAAAATCAGAGTTGGAATATACGCTGATCTAGTGTGTGTCCATTCTAAAATTAGAGTTGGAATATACACTGATCTAGTGTGTGTCCATTCTAAAATAAGAGTTGGAGTATACGCTGATCTAGTGTGTGTCCATTCTAAAATTAGAGTTGGAATATACACTGATCTAGTGTGTGTCCATTCTAAAATCAGAGTTGGAATATACACTGATATAGTGTGTGTCCATTCTAAAATCAGAGTTGGAATATACACTGATCTAGTGTGTGTCCATTCTAAAATTAGAGTTGGAGTATACATTGATATAGTGTGTATCCATTCTAAAATTAAGAGTTGGAGTATACACTGATATAGTGTGTGTCCATTCTAAAATTAGAGTTGGAATATACGCTGATTTAGTGTGTATCCATTCTAAAATTAGAGTTGGAATATACACTGATCTAGTGTGTATCCATTCTAAAATAAGAGTTGGAGTATACACTGATCTAGTGTGTATCCATTCTAAAATCAGAGTTGGAATATACGCTGATCTAGTGTGTATCCATTCTAAAATTAGAGTTGGAATATACACTGATCTAGTGTGTATCCATTCTAAAATTAGAGTTGGAATATACACTGATATAGTGTGTATCCATTCTAAAATCAGAGTTGGAGTATACACTGATATAGTGTGTGTCCATTCTAAAATCAGAGTTGGAATATACACTGATCTAGTGTGTGTCCATTCTAAAATCAGAGTTGGAATATACACTGATATAGTGTGTATCCATTCTAAAATCAGAGTTGGAGTATACACTGATATAGTGTGTGTCCATTCTAAAATCAGAGTTGGAATATACACTGATCTAGTGTGTGTCCATTCTAAAATTAGAGTTGGAGTATACACTGATCTAGTGTGTGTCCATTCTAAAATTAGAGTTGGAGTATACACTGATCTAGTGTGTATCCATTCTAAAATTAGAGTTGGAGTATACACTGATATAGTGTGTGTCCATTCTAAAATTAGAGTTGGAGTATACACTGATCTAGTGTGTATCCATTCTAAAATTAGAGTTGGAATATACACTGATATAGTGTGTGTCCATTCTAAAATCAGAGTTGGAGTATACACTGATCTAGTGTGTATCCATTCTAAAATTAGAGTTGGAGTATACACTGATCTAGTGTGTGTCCATTCTAAAATCAGAGTTGGAGTATACACTGATCTAGTGTGTGTCCATTCTAAAATTAGAGTTGGAGTATACACTGATCTAGTGTGTGTCCATTCTAAAATCAGAGTTGGAGTATACACTGATATAGTGTGTGTCCATTCTAAAATTATTAGATAGGAGTCATAATTTACTAAAATATATTACAAGTTGTAATGTAATCTAGAACAGCATGAATTTTACAATTCATTTAATTTAGTTGACTCAAACTATAATATTACTTGATTCAGTTCATGTGGTTTGTCAAATTGCAGCTGTTTTGAAATAAAAACCAAGTAATGTTTTTAACTTAATGCAAGTGTAGATACGCAATGGAAATGAAATTTTATATGCTAAATTGGTCATGAATAGATAGTGTTATTTTGATATTATGTAACTAGGATATAATGTGTTACTCTTGATTTACCAAGCTGATATTCATGTCTTAAAGGGACAGATTTGCTTGAGATATCATTGAGGGAATTATGCAATTTTCGTCCATTTCTATTACTTCTGAAGACTATTTACATATATTCAAAGCTTAAATCAACCACCCAAAATGGTGCACCTGTATCTTTAAAGATACAGATTTGCCGCTCAATTAATCCTACCTTAATCTCAGAAATGGGAATTTTCTAGCTAAGATAATCAGTAACAGTGTTCAAAGCTCACCATTGAATTTTTAGTCTTCAAATCCATGTGTGTCCAGAATTATCTGCATTTGAAATAAAAAGTCTTTTCTTTAGTCTCTATAATATATAGAAAAAGAAAGTAAAATTCCTAGTTTGAGATATTTAAGGAATTATATGATTTCGTACATTTCTAGTATTATATGAAAACAATTTACAAAAAATCAAGACCCAAATCCACTCTCGAAAATGGTGAAGCTTTCCTTAAAATCTCCTTTAGACTGATGTCAATATTCAATTTAAATAGTGTGTTAAATATAATATGAGAAAGGAATTGAAATGAATACTCTGCAGAATTTCTATCCTGTAATACTATGAAATTCTGAATATTCTTAATTTTTCTAAATTCGTGACCTGAACATGCCAATCAACAAAAATTAAATTGAGTCCCCTCAAAATTTATGATTTCGCTGTATTTATTTTGATTTTCGTATTAAATAAATTTTTAGTAGATCAAAGGATAGGTTTTAATAAACTCATGGTTCCTTTGACAGAGCAAACTAACTTGATTCATGTACCGTTACATACAAAGTACTAAATGGACTCAATAAATAACTGTTTTGTTTTTAGACAAGAATCGTATGGCATGTCGAAAGAATGAATTTCGATGTAGTAAAAATGGTTTATGTTTAAAGAATAGATATAAATGTGATAGTGTCAATGATTGTGGAGATTGGGAAGATGAAATAGACTGCGGTGAGTACACTTGTTGTCATTGAAAATCTGCTGCACTGATAAATCATTTTCACCGTCTGCTTTTTTGCCTTGTTTATACAATGCAGATTAGTTTGAAAAATGTGGAGCCTGGTTGTTCAAGAGGAAAAAAATTAATGTGTACTTGAAGATCTGGGAAAAAATTGTTGTGAATGTTTTTGCAATGATTGACAAATTTTCTACTAACTTCTGAGAAATATTTGGTTTGAAAAGAAAATTGATACTTTGGTAGACCTACTCAGTGATTGATGTGTGAACTTCCATCCAGAATGATGGTCTTGAAATATAAGTATGCAAAACTGGAGAATTTTGTCTCATTATGTGCCGACAGCAGGTCGGTGAAACATTTCACAAGACTAGTCGTCGACAAAAATCGGCAACCAAGACCGTTCTTGTGCCCCACCCTAATGAATCACTGATTGAAATTTTAGATTCTACCGTTGGTATTCCTTCCTTAGTAGACATTGTCACATAGATTTGTAAATCTTTCCTGTGATATATAACAGAATGATATAATAATCTAGAATTAATTAATAGCTTAAGACTTACATTTAGAAAAAGAACATAAATTCATGAAAAGATTTTGGATTTTTTTTATCCTAATCTCAAGATTTTTCAAGACCTGGCGCCAGATTTTTTGTTCTGCCTGATAATGGTTTAATCAGTCCGTTAATTTATCTGTATAGGTTCTAATCTATGTCATGATGGAGAATTTAACTGTACATCTGGTGTGTGTATTAATAAAAAATGGCGGTGTGATGGTGATTTTGATTGTGAAGATGGATCTGATGAAGAAGGATGTGATGGTATGAATTATTTCTTTAACTACTATGATATGGCCTGTTCCATCCCCCATACAGATTGATCAAAATGGTTGATTCATCTTGATACCCTTAACACAATTTCTGAAAAATAAAAGAAAGATAATAGCCCTGATCAATAAATCAAATAAATCATATAATTTTCGGCCAGATTGTTATAATTTTCTGTCAAATCTGTCACAAATTTATTTATGGTAACATATCCTGATTTTCTTGAAGGTAAGTCCCCACTGATGGAATTTAACTTATAAAATGAAATCTTATATATTTGATGGCCTATAAACAATGAAATTATAATATGATTTTGCCAGGACAGCGGCATTAGCCTGCTCTTTTTCGATTTTGAAAAATCCGAAGGTATCATTTCGACCTATGTCTGGATTGAACCCTAGACCTTCAGGTTAGCGAGCAAACGTCTAACTCACTGAGTCACCGTGGCTCCCCATCTGAAAGTGTAGGTAGATAATGATAATTATTATTATTATAGTAAAGAAGGGATGTAAGAAGGGAGAGTTTGAATGTTCTACCGGTGTATGTATACCAGATACATGGAGATGTGACGGTACTGATGATTGTACTGATAATACTGATGAAGTTGACTGCAGTAAGTAAAACCAATAGTAAAATACCTTGAAATATTAGTACCTTTTATGCAATAATTAACAAAGCTTAGAATGGTTGAAGGAAATGTCTCTATAACTGGAGATCTGAAAAAATGTAAAAACTAGCATGGGTGAATCAATGAATTTCTTTGGGTTGATCACTAAATCTTAAAGGGATTGTAATGAGGTTTCCTAAATTTTGTATGTGTATTGTGGACACTGATACCATCAATTTGCACCATTCCAACTTTCAGTCAGATGTCTGTGGTTCCACTAAAATTAATTGTTTGCTGACGTCACTAATTGCGAAAAAACCTTATGTGATAAAGCATATTTTGCAATTAGTTACTACAAAATGTTTACTGTTGTTGAATGACTATCTAGTTATATCTACATTTTGTTGTTATATACTGTTCTTGCAGTCTCAACTCGTAAAATCTAGACTTCAGTCATTACCCTTCTATCAGATATAGATTAAGTTTGTTTCATTGTTGATGTTATTATACCATAATAAATGTATGTATTTGTAGAAAAGAAAGAATGTCCTAAAGGTCAATTTCTATGTGATGATGGTAAATGTATTGGTAGACAGAAAGTGTGTAATGGTAAACCAGAATGTCTAGATGGTTCTGATGAGAAACTCTGTAGTAAGCTTATCTTTCATTCTTAGTTGCTTTGTCAGATTGACCAGAGCTCAATAGTACATACATGTAAGAAGATCACCCTCTCCTGATACAATCATCTTGTGATACACTTTAGGTGTATCTATTGTGATACAATCATCTTGTGATACACCTAAGTGTATCTATTGTCATACAACCATCTCATGATAAACTTTAGGTGTATCTATTGTAATACAACCATCCCGTGATAAACTTTACGTGTATCTATTGTAATACAACCATCTCGTGATAAACTTTAGGTGTATCTATTGTGATACAACCATCTTGTGATACACTTTAGGTGTATCTATTGTCACAATCATCTTGTGATAAAGTTATAAGTGATGTGTTTATACATCTTCACAATGTCAAGCTATTACGAACTTTCTTTTATACCTTGACTGCATTAGCCACATTTCTTGCATCACGAAATGCAGCTATTTGATTGGATTGTATGTCAGAGATTACAGCCAATCAGAGCCTTTGACAGAAAGACTGTACACAATAGCTTGACCATTTTGAAGAGGGTGTTTATATTAATGGTGTTTTATATTAATGGTGGTGTTTTATATTAATGGTGTTTTATATTAATGGTGTTCATATCTATTGTAGATTTACCAGCATCTTGTGATAAAGTAAATGGTGGATGTCAACATCACTGTACAGAATCACCTATTGGTGCTATCTGTACTTGTCAATTAGGTTACCAGTTACAGGATGATGGCCGCTCTTGTAAAGGTATGTGATATCGTACAGAACTGTGTCATTTGTCTTCTATTATTTTCTTAAACTTCATGAAAAGTACAACCTCAGCTGTACATCCATCTTCACAATGTCAAGCTATTACAAACTATACCTTGACTTCAATAGCAACTTTCTTTATCACAGATTTAGTGGGATTGTACGCTAGCGAAAACAGCCAAAACAAAAAGCAGTGATGTTGACAATCTGTCGAAAGTTCTGATTGGTTGTATTTGCTGGCGTACAATCAAATCAAATTGCTGCATTCCATGATACAAGAATAGTAGCTAATGCAGTCAAGGTAAAAGATGAAGTTTGTATTAGATTGACATTGTGAAATTGGTGTACATCTAGATGTTGGTTTTGTGTAATTAAGATGAATATATCTATTATTTTGTAGATGTTGATGAATGTGAGTTTGATTCATCATGTAGTCAGAAATGTTATAATACAATAGGTACCTTTAAATGTGAATGTGTTAAAGGCTATGTATTAAAACAGGATGGTAGGAGTTGTAAAGCTTTAGGTAAGTTCTATATGATCTCATTGAATCTGTTGTTATGTTGGCTCTCACCCCCTTGCATGTCACATGTGGATTGGTGAATTAACAAACGAGTTTTCTTTTTGCCCAACCATTTTGCTTCTGTTTTTCAAAATGAACCCCTAAGTTCTTTTGATTATACAGATCTGAAATAAGTCTTCATGGATGGAAACAATTAGGACATTAAATGCACACTTTTGACATTGGAATCATAGACCAATAGCTACAAAAATATTTTTAATCTAATCTACTAGTCCAACTTCAGTAGAGAAGTAGGCTGAAATAGGTCAGTCTGAAGATCGCATAGCGTGAAACTTTGAGTAACAAAATGTTTCAAGGTCTGTTTTAATATTTCTATATCAATTGTTGTATTGATTACTATTTTAACAGTAAAAATAGTATTTTATTGTATATATGTAACCTATAATATTGTTTATATTTTCTAGGAGGTGAAGCGTATTTGATATTCGCTAATCGTGTGGATATCAGACGTGTTACAACTGACCAATCAGAATACACCTCAATATTGAAAGGTTTACGTGATGCTATAGCTTTAGATTTCCATCATGAGAAAGGTTTAGTATTTTGGTCAGATGTTACTCTTGACACTATTAAAAGAGCTTATTTAAATGGTAGTGAAGTCATTGAAATTATCCATGGTGGCTTAGATAACCCTGGTAAGAGTTTCTTTATTGTCCAGTCACTGTAGTTGTTTATTTATATATCAAATATTAAGCTTGTTTCAGCTTTATAAGAATTTTTCTGAATTTTGATGATGCCTATAATTTAACAAAAAAAGTAGTCTTTACTAATCATTGGGGATAACAGCATTTAATGATTTTTTTCGTGAATTCATCGGATGATCTGTGGGATATCAATTTTGTAATGTGTTTTGGATTTAAATTTTGCAAAATGTTACAGGCCTTAATTGTAATTAAAACAGCCAATAAATAGTCCAGGTTACTGTGAATTGTGGTTGAGTATATCCCCATGCTAAAACTCCTAAATAGATGTTTACTTGCACAAACTTGAATTTTGTTACCTTGTATTTCAGGAGGACTAGCTGTAGATTGGATACATGATAAGTTATTTTGGACTGATGCTGGTACATCACGTATTGAGGTAGCTAATTTAGATGGTGGTTACCGTAAAGTACTATATTGGACAGATCTGGAAAAACCTCGAGCTATTGCAGCTTATCCACATAAAGGGTAAATTGATTTGCTTTGATTTGATGATTTGAATTACTGTAAAGGAGTGATCTCCCTCAATTGATTCAGTTGATGCAGGTTTAAATAGGTATAGAATAATCCAAGGAAACTCAATGTCAAGAGGATTGAGCCAGGAAGTATATATATATTTGTCATCCTAGCTGTCTTTAGATTGAGAATATTTGTTAGCTTGAAGAACTTAAATGAATAAACTTTCTGGATTATTCCAGTCAACTCATTTGCCATGGACACTAGAAATGACCTTCCTTAATATTAGACAAGCATTAGTAGCCATTGTTGAATGGTTATGAAACCATATCATTTGTGTATTGTAGATGGATATTTTGGACTGATTGGGGTACTGTACCTAAGATAGAGAGAGGTTCAATGGATGGTAGCAGGAGATTAGCTATAGCCAACACCTCTCTCTTCTGGCCAAATGGTTTAACTATGGATTATGCTGCAGAAAGAATATACTGGGCAGACGCCAAACATCATGTGATAGAATGTGCTGACTTAGATGGTTCACATAGACGAACTGTCATTAATCAAGGTAAATAAACCATCCAATTTCAAAGATGATTTCCTACTTTTTAATTACATGTATGCTCTTTGATGAAAAAACTTAAAATTTGGGAATGATAGTGAATCATCTGAATGATCAAAAATGGCTGTGGATTCATTTCAGGTCTTCCTAGTTGATTTTGTAGGCTTGTGGACCTTGACTCATTGATTTCTCTTTGGATAGTGTCAGATTTCTATTTATGATTAAATTTGTATTTTTTGATACAAATTTTTTTAAAATCTATGATCAAAAAGAAAGAAACTTGCAGGCTCGTAGAATGGATTGCTTCCCCTGTAAAAAATTCTTCATTATACCAATCAGGAGATTAGGCGGTAAATAGACATCATTTCATTTTCCCTTGTTACCATACCATTTCTATGATAGGCTTATATACCTATAAATAAATAATGGCCAACATATTTTTCTTCTGTTGCAGGTTTACCACACCCATTTGCTCTGACCCTATTTGAAGATGAGCTATATTGGACTGATTGGCATACCAAGAGTATCAATAAAGCTAATAAATTTAATGGTAATAATATAGAAACAGTAAGAAATAGACTACATTTTCCTATGGATATACACACATTTCATCCACAACGTCAACCTCCAGGTACAGTATGGCGGCCATTTTGTTTTTCACTTCTGCTCCATTTTTCTTTATTTCGTCTCAGTGCTGTGTTGACTGTTATGAGGTTTTGTAACTGAAGACATAAGCAGATACTAGGATTGTTGAATACCCGGTTGATACCCAAAATTTCTATAATGTTTGCCAATGATTTGGGTTCTTTGCCTAATTTATCTTTGTGCACTTTTGGTATTTGTTTTGATGACAATACTCTATGAAGACACTTTAAAAATTGGAAGTAAATTTTAATTTTAATGCTAATAGCAAAGGATTTGTAATACAACAGTATTTATCCTCATCTCAGCCGGTGTTTTCGTAATTTCAGTTTTATATTGTTGTTACAACCTAAATAGAAATAGCATAGCAAAATGACATTATTATAAAACCAGCTACTTTAGAACTTTTTAAGAGCAACCATTGAGAAAAATTCTATTTCAGCTGATAACCATTGTGGTTTGGATAATGGTGGTTGCAGCCATCTTTGTTTACCAAATGAAAGACATTATAGTTGTGCCTGTCCAACTGGTTTACATTTGACTGATAATGATAAAATATGTACATCTAGTAAGTAACTGTATAATTTTAATTGACACTGTCGCCATTTTATCTAATGTTCAACCCATTCTTGCTCTGTTTCCCCTGCTCTGTTTCCCTTTTTATGATTCATTATCTGACACTTAGCTCTAGTACAATTAAATGAAACAATTGGGACTTGGCCCCAGAAAGTGAAGTTAAAGTCTGAGCAAGTTTCAGTTCAGTCTTCAGTTTTAGTGTCCAAAAAGATGGTGTTTGGCGACTCTAAATCATTATAAATGAGTATCTGGGCTTCTAATATTCAAATTTTCATGGAAGAGTGCCCCTAGGCGATAGAACTGTGTTGCTCTAGGTCGACAGGCCCCACATGCACCATTTTGGTACAAAGTCAAGCCCCAGCATTCCTAGCAACGGCTGCTGTTTCCATTCTTATTACATCAATGTAAAAATATTAGGAAATATAAACTTCTGCCAAAATCCTTTCGATTTGTTTTACTTTGACAACACAGGAGCACTTCTGTGTTTCAATATCTTGTAAGAATAATTTCATGAATAGTTGAAGAGCTATTTGTAGGGGGAGATAACTAGAAAAGTATTTCTATCATTTCAGAAATCAACACGTTCTTGTTATTTTCAACTCAAACTGATATTAGACGTGTTACATTAGAGACTCCTGATTTAACAGATGTAGTGATACCATTATCTGATGTAGCTAGATCTATAGGTGTAGAATGGGACAGTGAATCAGACCATATCTACTGGACTGATGTTATAACTGATGTTATTGGTCGTGCTAAATGGGATGGTTCAGAACAGGAGGTAGGTAAAGTCTTATGACCTTGAACAGGTCATCGGGAGCCTTTGTAGATTAGTGAGTCGTTTGCTGGCTTACCAGGTTTCCCCCTGTCTGTAATTGGGCTAAAGTCTTTCCCATTGCACACTGCAATAGGTCAATCAGGAGCAAATAGTGAAACACCAATCCATTTCACTTTGTCTTTTGTTTATTTATAGATTGTAATAGGTAGCAGTTTAGAGACACCAGCTGGTCTGGCTCTAGATTGGGCAAATCATAAACTATACTGGACAGATGCCGAGAATGATAGAATAGAAGTAGCTAATTTAGATGGCAAAATGAGAACAGTTCTATTATGGAAAGATTTTGATCAACCAAGAGATATAGTGGTGGATCCAATGACAGGGTAAGCTGAATTATAACTTGAAATATGTTTGTATAATACAGTCATCTTGATAATTGCAATGCATTGAGCTCTGCTTCAGCTTACCATTAATTCATTAATTAGACAATTGTAGGCCTACCAGACTACAAGTAGGCCTACTTAATGTTAAAAAACCTTCAAAAACTAACTATGGTTAAATGATGCATAAAAATAGTGTAATGTAGACAAATTAAATAGGTCTAGTTGATTAAGGTCAAGGGAATTCATTCATTTGGAAGTGTGGAAAATCTCCATACAACAGGGCTTAGTTTTTCTGACTCTACTCTGGTCAATAACTGTCAAAATAGCTATCATAACCTCGAATAACGGCAGATGTTTCAGACAGTCAGATAAAGTCCCTACTTGTAACCTAGGCCAGTGCTTCTATGAGAGAGTATCTCTTATAAAACCTTATACTAAATGCCTCAATGATTATAATTGACAATATGTATACTTTGTAGATATATGTTCTGGACAGATTGGGGTAAAATGCCGAAGATAGAGAGAGCTGGTATGGATGGTAGTGAAAGAATGATCTTATTCCATGAAAATATTACCTGGCCTAATGGACTAGCTATAGACTTTGATGAAGAAAGACTGTATTGGACTGATGCTCATATGAAAACTATAGAATCCAGTACATTGGAAGGCAAAGACAGAAGAGTAAGTGGTTCAACTAGAAATTTACATGTTAAGTTGATATTGTTGCCTGAATTATTGGTTTAAAGGGACAGGTACATCAATTTTTGGGGGGTGATTTTAGTCTTGAATATATGTTAAGAGTCTTCAGAAGTACTAGAAATGTACAAAAATCGCATAATTCCTGTAAAAATACTTCAAATTAGGAATTTTACTCACTTTTCCACTATATGTCTTCTCTATATATCACAGAGTACATGTATCTTAAAATTGTCGAGTCAACACTTTAACATTAAAACACAGAAAAATATTTTTATTTCAGTATGTGATTGAACTAGGGTTAGATCATCCATTCGGTCTAGCTTTATATGGTGAATTAATGTACTGGACAGACTGGACTACAGAAAGTATACATTATGCCAATAAAAAGACTGGAAGAAATCGTGGCGTCTTATTATCAGATCTGGGTAATCTAATGGATATACATGTTTATCATCAAGGTAGACAAGAAGGTACGCAGAAATACTTAGAAATGCTTTTATTCAGATATAGGTCTTAGGGCAGTATATCTGTAGGACCTACAATTTCAATTGTTTGATTTTGATAGATGTGTGGAAATTACATATTATATTTATAGCCAAATTGATAAAAAGAATCTGAATTGACAAATAAGAATGTCTGGCATGTTTTAAAAGGTGAAACTTCTTTTACATTAGATATCTTCTGGTGCTAATCAAAACTAATCAAAGTCTCACTGATATATATAAAAAAATTAAAAAATTTCTAATTCCTGTAAGTGATTTTTAGATAGTATTATTGTAAAATTCTATAAAAATGTTCACTAAATATAGGGTGATGACCCAGATTGGATGACAAAGAACCTTGATAAAGGTTACTGTTCAGCAACTTCTGCACATATGATCATTGCTGACTTGGATCTACATCTTTTTCTGGCATCTGTGACATTGTATCTGACACTCATTGCACTGTATATTATGTTTTGTAGTTGCCACTACTTGTAGTAATAAAAATGGAGGTTGTAGTGATGTATGTTTAGTAGCACCTTTACCAACCAGTCACACCTGTACATGTCCTACTGGTATATTGCTCAAATCTGATAATAAAACATGTGAAACAGGTAAATTTACTTATACTCATTGAAGACTTATAACATGTGAAGCAGGTAAATTTACTTATACTCATTGAAGACTTATAACATGTGAACCAGGTAAATTTACTTATACTCATTGAAGACTTATAACATGTGAACCTGGTAAATTTACTTATACTCATTGAAGACTTATAACATGTGAACCAGGTAAATTTACTTATACTCATTGAAGACTTATAACATGTGAAACAGGTAAATTTACTTATACTCATTGAAGACTTAAAGCATGTGAACCAGGTAAACTTTGACATATTTTAACAAAAGTACTGTCCCCCTTTAAATCAAGATGGTCACTGTGGTAACTATACATGTATTTCTTTCAGAAATGAAACATTTCCTGTTATTTACAAGAAGGACTGATATAAGAAAGATCTCACTGGATGTTCCGTACTATGCAGACACAGTTGTACCAGTGGGGGAATTGATGAATACAATAGCTATTGATGTAGACAAAGCTGAAGGTAGGAGACTTTTACACATTTCAAAAAACACCATTGAAATCTTTTTCTACATGTGAAATGTTCATTAGCCGAAACAAATGTATTTCCAATACCTTTATCTTGTATCTTAAATATATTGGACAGATACAGTATCTGATACATTATGTAGATCTATCTTTATCTTGTAGATAAAATATATTGGACAGATACTGTATCTGATACATTACATAGATCTATCTTTATCTTGTAGGAAAAATGTATTGGACAGATACTGTATCTGATACATTATGTAGATCTATCTTTATCTTGTAGGTAAAATGTATTGGACAGATACAGTAGCTGATACAATATGTAGATCTAATCTAGATGGTAGCCAAAGAGAGATTGTCATAGAGAAAGGCTTAAGAACTGCTGATGGACTAGCTGTGGATTCTGTTGGTAGAAAAGTTTACTGGACTGATGCTGGCCATAAAACTATTGAAGTAGCCACCTTAGAGGGTAAAATGAGAAAAGTTTTAATTTGGAAAGGAATACAGAAACCGCGTGCCATAGCATTGCATTATGAAAAAGGGTGAGACTGTTAATTTTTATTTTAAGTATGTATCACTATCCAAATTTAAAATCCAGCATCCGGTTCCTTTACAATATGTCATTTTAAGAGTTACACACATTTTTTAGGGCATATTTTGTTCAATGTTATATGGATGAACTGTAAGAGGATCTGACAAACTTGAATTCTGGAAAGTGATAAGGATAATCTAATATTTAGCTCTGTTAATTGGTAAAACAAATTTTTAAATGGTTATATCCCTTAAAGATGGGTTCCCTTATTTTCATAAATGAAAATGCTAATACTTATTCAAGTAGAAAGTAGAGGTGTTCTAATGACTTGGAAAAATACCAGTTTGTCTCTCATGTCCATGATTAATTCATAATAAGCTAAATTAGAAGAGAATTACCAGCAGAATTCCAATGAGTGACCAATGAAGAAAGGTCAAAAAATCTTTTTTTAGTTAATCCAGACTGTATATACATGGACATTTATGATTGGTTAAAAACTCTAAATTATATGCCATAAGAACATAATGATATGATTAAGAATTCATGATAATTCCTTAGAAACACCAATTAATCAAATAGTTTGCTTAATTTGACACTAAAAAAATAAGGAAACCCATCTTGAAAATCTATGGTTTTTTGTTGTCTTTAAAATATGTTTTACTCACATAAATATGAAAGTATTGGAGAACGGGTTTTCGCTCATATAACCCCTTGCCCAAATTTCATAATTTCACAATAAAATCCATAATTCTATTAATAGGTATTTATTTTGGACTGATTGGGGAGATAAACCGTCTATATGGAGGGCTGATATGGATGGTGAAAACAGTAAAACATTGATAAAAGATCAACTTGTATGGCCGAATGGTTTAGCTGTAGATTATACTACTGATAAAATCATCTGGTGTGATGCCAAGACAGAGGTATGAAAAATATAGGATGTGGTTTATGTCTTGAGCTAGTCTTTTAAGCCATCATTTAATAGTCTCACATCAGGGATTTATGATTCTATTCCAATTACATGTCATGTCTGAATTGATCTGCAAAATGTCCGGACATGGTTTTGGTGTTTAGGACATATTATGAAAGTCATTCAGTTTTATCGAAATCAAAGACATGAAATGGCTTTTGAACTAAGTTGAAATGGTAAGTATACACTGCTAATAACACTGATTGGTTAAATAATATCACTGCAAACAAAACTAACCAATCAGAATTCTGGAAATTCCCGCCCCAGAATTTTTAATTATGCACATCAATAAAGATGATGATTTATTGTTACAGGTAGTAGAATGTTCAGATTTTAGCGGTCACTATAGACGTGTTTTGGTTGCTAAGGTGGCTCACCCGTATGGTTTAGCTGTGTCTGGTAACTGGATATACTGGACTGATTGGAGAGCTACGTCAATAAACAGAGCTAATAAACATACTGGTAAAAATATTACAGTTATTCGTGGTAATTTACACGGTGTAATGGATGTCCATGCTGTAGATATGGAATTAATAGGTAAGTTTAGACAGCAGATGTTAAAATCAGAAGAAGAGAGGGGGGCTAATGCCATTGCCATAATAATTTTTTCAATTGTTTTTTTACAATACAAGGCATTTCAGGTGTTTTTAAGGCCAGACCAATCTATTTTCTTCTTTTTTTATGGATCTTCCTACCTCAATTTTCCAGAAATTAGAAGTAGAAATAATAAGCCCTGCTGGAAAAAATGACCTCCATTTTCAATTGTCTTCAGAAAGTTCTATTATAATTATAATACATGTATATGATTTTTGATTAAATCAATACCAGTAAAGTAAGGAAATCTACATGCATCATTCCAATATTCAGATGTCTGTTAGTTCTTTGTGAAATTTCTAGTTTTAGTGGAGTTAAAAGAACCAAAGACGTCTGATCGAAAATCGGACTGGTACAAATCGATGCCATCATTGTCCGTTAAAATTACCTCTCTGCACAATCCCTTTAGAAGCTGTGAATTGTGAGTGGCTAAATTAAGTAGCATTAAGGTGACATAAGTCTCATTTGATACATGTTGATTTATTGTAGAAACATTTGTGAATAAATGTGGTCGAAATAATGGTGGTTGTAGCCATCTGTGTCTACCTAAACCTAATGGTTACTCCTGTGCCTGCCCCTCCGGTGTTATTTTATTACCTGATAAAAAAACCTGTCAAAACAGTAAGTTTGCTTTAATTTGCTAAAAATTATGTCAGTTTATTAAAGTAACTGTATAGTTGAAATTGAAATTGAAATTGAAATGAAATTGAAATGAAATTGAAATTGAAAATGAAAATGAAATTGAAATTGAAATTGAAATTGAAATTGAAATTAAATTGAAATCAATTTGAAATCAATTTGAATTTGCAATGTACACAGGAATTTTAGTTTGCACAGTCTGAAGAACACAGGGCCTCAGTTTACTGTCCAATCAGAACAACTAGAATGATTACAAACATTTCAAAAACATTCTCAGATCTAGAATAATTAAAGTAGACCCAGAGAAAAAAAAAAGAAACAAAATATCTATAGCCATATTATAATCATATCATATCGTTTTTCAGTCATGGCAAAAGGGTTTAGTCGTTTGGATGGGATAATAAACCAAGGTCCCTTGTACTACAGACTGTGCACGTTAGCCCATATGGTGCCGAATAGTAGGATGTAAAACTCCATCCATTTCATTTCATTTTTTCTATTTTCAGTGCCTACAAAGTATTTATTATTTGCTAGTAGATCTAATATACATTATATTTCACTGGATACAGATGACCGATCTGATGTTTATTTACCGATTACTGACTTACATAATGTAGTGGCTCTAGACTATGACTATACCAATAAAAAAATATATTATACTGATGTTTTTCTTGATGTTATAAGGTAAGCAGTCTGTTTTAAATTTTGTACTATTAGATTGCTTGCAGGGTTCAATATTGAACACTCCAAATTTTAGTTTTGGCAAATTGAATTTCGATTTGCATTTCATAAAAATTCTTTTAGCAATTTAGAATGTTCCAATAGTAGGCCTAAACCTTCAAGGATACAATTTGATTTGATTCTCATATCATTATGGTAAATTTTAACTTTGGCTAAACAATTGTAAAAGGGGTCATTTTGAATCCAAATTTTGTCTAACTTGAACCATGTTTTGCAGATATGCATGGAGATAAAATCTCTCTATTAGCTTTAGCTGTTTTGTATGGTCAGTTTTTCTTCCTTGACGACTCTCTAGAACCTACTTTATTATCGAAATGTGAAAAGAATGCATCAAAATTCTAAGGTTTTGTTGAAATTTGAATGTTTTGCAACAATTAGATACAGAGTTATTGCCCTTTCTCCAGCCTTTCTGCCTTTTCCAGCTTAAAACTATACATAATTTGATTTTAAATTTGCAGAAGATGTGATTTGAATGGAAGTAATGTAGAAACAGTTATAGAGAATAAATTGTCCACAACAGACGGACTGGCTGTAGATTGGATTAGTCAGAACTTATATTGGACAGATACTGGTAGAGATGTTATAGATGTCTCTAGGACAGATGGTACATCACGTAAAACATTAATCTCTACTGGTCTAGATGAACCTCGAGCTATTGCTCTCTTTCCTAAGAAAGGGTAAGTCTTGTAGTTGACATCAAAATATTAGAGTTTTCTCAATATTTGTTTTTCCAGCTCATAAAACTCCATGTCATCTATCTGTATCCCTTTGAAGAATTAAGATCTGACATCAGGTTCCTATCAATTATTGTAAAATGGATGCGTCATTCTAATTTTCAGTCAGGTGTTTGTGGTCTAACTTTTGCGATAGCAACCTCATAAAACAACTACTTTTAGTGAAATTGCAAGAAAAAAAGGTGTTTGATTGAGAATTGGAATAGTGCAAATTGATGCTATCTCAGTACCTGTTCAGAACTCACCAATCGAGTGCAACCTAATAGTTTCTGCTTCCGTGCTTTGTCATTTGTTATTTCACTTGCATTTGCAATTTTCTTTTTATATTTTCAATTTTCTCTGTAATTTATCTCAACAGATTAATGTTCTGGACAGATTGGGGTGTTAATGCTAAAATAGAGAAAGCTTATTTAGATGGTTCATCAAGAAGAACTATAATAGATGAAAATTTGGGTAGGTTATTTTGATAGTTTTAAACTGGTGAAGGATGACGTGTGGGAATTCTTTGATTCTTTCTCTCATTGAACACAAATCTACATTTATTTGATAATGACACCATTTTGGATCTGATTGTAAATGGCTATTTCCTAATGGACTATCGATAGATATAAGGTTACTAGGCTGATTGTAAATTGTAATTGTTATTTGTAATGTTTCAGGATTTCCTAATGGGTTATATATAGATTACTGAATAGATTGTAAATTGTAATTGTTATTTGTTATATTTCAGGATTTCCTAATGGACTATCATTCTATAGATTACTGGGCTGATTGTAAATTGTAATTGTTATTTGTAATGTTTCAGGATTTCCTAATGGGTTATATATAGCTTACGGAAAGATTGTAAATTGTAATTGTTATTTGTTATATTTCAGGATTTCCTAATGGACTATCATTCTATAGATTACTGGGTGGATTGTAAATTGTAATTGTTATTTGTCATATTTCAGAATTTCCTAATGGGCCATATATAGATTACTGACTAGATTGTAAATTATAATTGTTATTTGTTATATTTCAGGATTTCCTAATGGGCCATATATAGATTACTGACTAGATTGTAAATTGTAATTGTTATTTGTTATATTTCAGGATTTCCTAAAGGACTATATATAGATTACTGAATAGATTGTAAATTGTAATTGTTATTTGTTATATTTCAGGATTTCCTAATGAGCTATATATAGATTACCGAATAGATTGTAAATTGTAATTGTTATTTGTTATATTTCAGGATTTCCTAATGGATTGTCTATAGATTATGAAGATAAAAGGTTGTATTGGGTTGATGCCAAATTAGATAAAATTGAAACCTCAGATTTAAATGGTAGGAATAGAGTGACATTGTTGCATAATATACCACATCCTTTTGGCCTTACAGTGGTAAGTTATGTGATTTACCAAACATTTAGGAGAGGTGTACTCAATTACAGAAGATAAATGTTTTGATAATTTTTTGTATCAGATTTGTCAGGATATGATCAGTGCACAATACCCATATAAATGTAAGATCAGTTCAATTTTTCAAGATATTTTGTAAGCTTACTCTTCACGGAACGATGCAATAACATTAACACCGAGTCCCTGTGTGCTACAGGCTGTGCATGTTAAAGATCCCTCGACAGTTGGAAATCAACAAAAGTAGGCTCATACCACTGTCCTGAAAAATCAGGACAATAATGGTTGCTGAAAAAAAATTATTTTGGCATAAAACTGAAACTTTGCAAGTACAAAATTGATGTAAAAATATTCTTTTTCTATTCCATTTCAGTTTGGAGATTATATTTATTGGACAGACTGGGTGACAGAGTCTATAGATAGAGCGAATAAAAGGACTGGATTAAACAGGAAAATAGTGAAAGAGAAACTGGAAGGTCCTATGGATCTACATTTTGTCTCTCCTGATAGACAGATAGGTAACGTATGGAAGAGAAATAACATTTTTTCCCTTTTGTTTGAGAATCTTGAGCGTATGAATCTGATACAATGAACTCTCATTGGGGTCATTGGGGTCAAGATAATATCTTGGCCAAGATAAAGGGCAAAAAAAAGGGCCTAAACTTGTCCCTCTCGTTCATTTCAATCTTCAATTTTTCAAAATGGCTACTGGATTAGTAGACTCATGATATATTTTGTTTTACTATTAGGTACCAACCCATGTAGTGAAAAGAATGGTGGATGTACACATCTGTGTCTAGCTTTACCTAATACATATGTTTGTGAATGTCCAAACCAACCTGATCACAGAGCCTGTCTCAAAAGTAAGTAGTGAAAAAAAATCAATTACTAGCATTCTTGTCTATCAAATAGGCTTCACACCTGCAAAAAAACTAGTGCAGAGACTGGGAAACAATCCATTGCTTGGCACAAAACGAATGAAGCTCTCCCACTTACTGCTAACAATGGTACGGAAAACAAAGACAAAACTCACCTTGATGGTGCAAATAGCCAGTGTGTAGATTTATTACAAGAACAACTCAGAAGTGACAGTGACTTAGAGTGTCAGGATTCAATTCTGTCAAGGTCGTTCCTTATAATCTCTATGGAGCTGCTTGATTCGTCAGTTTTGCATCTTTGGGATTTAAGGAATAAAACAAGTTGGAACAGAGCTCAGAATGCTTTAAAAAAAAATAGGTGCTGCAGACAGAATTTGAAATGGCGGAGAAGAAAAAAGATGGGAAAATTTTGAAGCATATCCCGCTTCCATACTGTTTAATTAAGGGCAGAATTGGAACAGACAGAACCTGTCTCCAATCAAGCTCCACCATGTGTCATAGACAGTTGTAAATAAGAAGTCAAATTGTTGCAGACGCCCAAAGAGTGAAATATACATTGTTGGTGTTAGGTTGGTAAACTGTGAACTGTTATAATCACTATTTTTTGTATTTATCAACAGAGGTCATGCATTCTGTTCTTTCATAACATTTTTTTACAGTACTTGATGCGAAATTTTTCATTCTTTTATTTTAGTTCCATTAAAAGATGGTCTTCCAGACGATATATCAAATATAGATGGTCAATATAATATGTAAGTTTTGTGTTAGTAATAGATTTTATATAAAGAGCAAATGGAAAGGGATGAAAACCGACACTGGGCCAACTTCTGGAAGCACTGGTCATGGAATCTGATTTTTTTTGCCTTTGAAAGGATTCAGACCTATGAGGTTTTAGATTGAAAAACAGTACCATAATTAAAGGAATAGGTTACTGTAGAAATATAATGTCTATTTTAGTAGATTTAAAGCGACAGGTCTGCTATCCGTTTGACCAATTTTACCTAAGTCTCAGAAACAGGAATTTTGTAGCAAAGTTAATCAGTAATAGTGTTCACAGCTCCCGGTCGAAATTTGAGCCCTTGCCCCACCATTTCTTGAGTCTTATATTATAGAAAAGACATATATAGAAGATAAAAGTTAATTCTTAGTTTGAGGTATTTTGGAAGGAATTATGTGATTTTCATACATTTCTAGTACTTCTGAAGACTATTTATATATATTCAAGACCCAAATCAACCTAGATAATGGCGAACGTGCCCCTTTAAACAAACTGCTACCCAGCAAAATGTTACTAGTTAATTCAGTCAGGGCATAGCTGAATCAAATCATGTATTTAACCAAATGTTTTGGGTGTTTTTTTTTTCAGTTGCAATGAGGAAAACAGAAAAAATGGCAAATGTACAGAACCAAATCAATCTAGAGGCAAGATATTTTATATTAGGGATTTATTAGTTCAATGATAAGGGCCAGTATTATTTAAGCTATCAAGGTTTAACAGTTTCTCATAGATAAGACAGATATTATGATACTCACAGTAGTAACTTCTTATGAGATTGTTCACATAGACCTGGAAACGCAGATAAATTGGATGTTGGATTTCCATTCTGAAAAGAGATACAGATAGCTTATATTTAGATGGCTATATTCTTATATTGTAGTAATGTTTAATTTTTGAATATATTGTTTGCCCGAAGATCATATTTGAGTAACAACATGTTTCAGGTTCTGTTTAATATTTCTATAAAATAAATCCGTACAAGCACGACAGTTCCGTAAATCAAAATCGGATCCAGAGTATGGCAAAATCGAGAGTAAAAGTAATATAGTAGTGGACTCCTCTAAAGAGAAGTACCATCAGGTATCTGATTTGCGCTCAAAACCGCCTCTTCTGTATTCCTCTACTCTTGATTAATTGAGAACTATTTTAACAGTGAAAATATTTTATTATTGTTTATTGGTTTTCAGATAAGTCCAAAGTACATGGTGCTTATATAGCTTTGATGGTTATAACTATATTAGTTTTAATAGGTTTCCTTATTTTCTTCATTATCTGGAAACGGTAAGATCAAGAAGTTTTTTTCAAAATGGCCTTTAAAGGAATACGAGGCTACCTCTTAGAATGGACATCAAATTTAAAGTCTCAAACTTGGTCAATAAGTGTATATATTCATCAGTTGGACTTACCAGGTGCCATGACTAAAGAATAGAATCTCTATATAAGATGATATATCCATTTAATAACTAAATAATTGTTAAAACACTTCTAGACATGTTTCAAAATTACTTAGTTTAATAAATTATTACTTAATTTTATAGATTTTTTTTGGATAATAGAGAGATTCTGTTGTATTTTTATGACACCAGCCAAATCCACTGATGAACAAATACTCATTTTGGCCAAGTTTTAAAAATTTCAATTTTTTGGTCTAAGAGGTAATATACCTTTAAACTTTTGAACTAATTAACTGTTTGCATTTGCATTAATTGTGGCATACAAAATATTGATGCCAACTGGCACAAAACAACAGAGTTTTAAATATTATTGACATTATCAATATAGCTGCAAGTAGATCCAAAGAAACATTTTCTGTAACGGCTGGCTTATCTACCATATTTTTATGAAAATCATCTGTTTGATATAAATGTGATATTTGGTTATGCCACATAATAATAATAATAATAATAATAATAGACTCTTTATATTATATGGTTTAGAATAAGGTCCAATACTTAAGGACATTGTCCATGGGGTCAATACAATGAATGATATGAAAAAAATGAATTAAAATTGAAAGTACCATGGATCCTTTAGTCCATATAATTCAATTAGATTGGCAAGTGAGAAATTTACAATTAAATCAAGGCTTCTTTGCAATGTAAAGCTATTACGAATTTTATTTTGTACCTTCACTGCAATAGGCACCTTTCCTATGTCACGGAAAAAATTGTAAATGTAGTGATTTGATTGGATTGTACACTAAAAAAAAAACAGCTAATTAGAAGCCTTGACAAAAAGCCTGTAAACATTAGCCATATTGTTTAAAGTCTGTCAAGGGCTCTGATTGGCTGTATTTGCTGGCGTACAATCCAATCAAAGTATATGATACAAGAAGGCAGCTAATGGAGTCAGGGTATTAGCTGAAGGTCATTATAGCTTGACATTGTGAAGGTGTAGACAACTGTACTTGGTGAAATTAAGTATTTTTTGTAGAATGAGAGGTGTTTAGGAAATTGAATAATTCATAAAAATAAATTGTTATATTTCAGACAAAGAAGAAGAAGATACAATATGGATGATTTTACATCCTATGCTAACCCTACTTACCAAAAAACCAGTACAGAAACTATTAATTCTGATACTAGATCAGTTAGAGGCTGGAGTCTCTTTCATTATCGTAAAAATGAGGTGGGATTTTTTTTTTTGTAATTCACAAAAAAATCACAAAGCCAAAGTTGAGGATGATTTGAGTGCAATAGTAGCTTATGTGTTGCATAATTATGATAGATCGAATTTTTAGTCATATGTGGCTTTTCGCTCTGGTCTAAGACTTTGCGACTTGGTCTTGGTGAAGTTTGTATATCCTAAAGCATTTTAAGCATACCATGATCTCTTGAATGTTATTGCAAATTAAAGAATTGTGTACTTGCAGGAAAGAATTCGCATGATGCCACCAAATAACAGTAGCACCAATCATCCTGAAACCACTGCCTTAGTTCATCAGATGGAATTTCATTCGCCATCACCTTCACCTCAAATAAATCATCACCATCATCGGGATGTGACTAAAAATATATACAAAAACAATCCTCCATATACAGATATGTTACCAAATATCTCCTACCACCCTGTGGACACCTGAAATGCCTTCATTTTCTTTCTTGTGAAAAAGTATCTTGCCTAAATGAAGAGTTCCGGTTGTGAGGTAGAAAAGTACAGAACATTGTTGTTTGCATCCTTTTTTTATCACATTGATGAGATGAAAGGAATATTTGGTTTTGGATCACAATTCCTGTTAGTTAAATAAAAAAAAACAAGAGAAAATCAAGTGAAATGGCATGAAAACAGTTCGAAGTGTCCAACTGATGACAATAGGATAAAAGAATGTGCAAAGAACACGATTCAAACAAACCTTCTTTGATTTGAATTGTTGAAAAAAACTGCCATAAAAAGTTTGATTTCCAATATGGAAAAGGTTACCAAAACAAGGCCACAACATTTTTTGAAAAAGTTTTTGTTTTATGTTTTGCTCCAAATACTTGCGCTAAATATGGCTGCCAAATGTACAGATTGTTTTTAAGTATTTTTATGACTTATGATTAAGAGATTGTTTATTAACTGTGATATTGTATTCGACTTTTCTTTTTGATAATTTTCACTCTTCTTGTGATTTTTTTCTTTTTTAAAAACGTCAGCTTTGAATACCATAAATCAAAATGGTACTGAGGATATCATAAGCACTACTGGTTCAATTGTCTGCTTTGCTCAATCACCTTTGATAGATCAATATGCTACTGAGGATATCATAAGCACTACTGGTTCAATTGTCTGCTTTGCTCGATCACCTTTGATAGATCAAAATGGTACTGAGGAATATCATAAGCATTGCATGATCAAGTGTCAGCTTTGCTCAACTTTGACAATTCAAGATGGTTATCAGCACTGCTGTATCAAGTGTCAGTTTTGTACATCTTTGATAAATCAAAACAGTATGATGAGTGCTACTGGATCAAGTATCAGCTTTTGAGCACCTTTGATAAATTAAAACGGTAGTCTATCAATAATCCATTTGATCTATTAAGTATATTTTACATTTATTTTTGTTATCCACAGTACTTCCTTGAAGAACTTTATCAGCTTAAGTTCTGTTGTATTTGGCATTTTGAATTCAGCAATTGATTGATTATAAAATTATTAATAATAATTAGTGAAGGCTATCTACCAAAGGCTTAGTAATCTTCCAGTGTTTAGTGTGTAAGCAAAAAGTGTAAAAGGGAAAAAGTCATCTAGATATTTGCTATACCAGCTGAATAAGCTCAATTCCACCTATCCATGCATGACACATTTCAGAATTGATATCTGCAGGTTGGTGAGGTTCCTGTGAAAAATGCTAGAGAATGTTGTTATTAAGTTTTGTCAGCTGATAAATCAAATAATTAGATGATAATATACCTATATTATTATAATTACTTAAAGATAGGTTCCCTTATTTTCATTTATGAAAATGAAAATGCTAATACTTATATTAATAGAAAGTTTAGGTGTTCTAATGTTCTAAAATACCAGTCTGTCTTATATGTCCATGATTAATTCATAATTAGCTAAATTAGATCAAGAAAGGTCAAAAAAAGTATTTTTTGTTTATCCAGACTGTACATACAAGGACATTTATGATTGGTTAAAACTCTTAATTGTATACAATAAGATGTGATGAAGAATATATGATAATTCATTAAAAACACCAATTTATCAAATAGTTTGCTTAATTTGACACTAAAAAACAAGGAAACCCATCTTTAAGTTCCTTCAGTTCCTTCAGTTCCTTCAGTTTCTTAAGTTCCTTAAGTTATCATAATAATATAAGTAACTTAAGGAACTTAAGAAACTAATGAAACTTAAGGAACTTAAGAAACTAATGAAACTTAAGGAACTAATGAACCAATGAAACTTAAGGAACTTAAGAAACTAATGAAACTTAAGGAATTAATGAACCAATGAAACTTAAGGAACTAATGAACTAATGAAACTTAAGGAACTAATGAACTAATGAAACTTAAGGAACTAATGAACCAATGAAACTTAAGGAACTAATGAACCAATGAAACTTAAGGAACTAATGAACCAATGAAACTTAAGAAACTAATGAAACTTAAGGAATTAATGAACCAATGAAACTTAAGGAACTAATGAACTAATGAAACTTAAGGAACTAATGAACTAATGAAACTTAAGGAACTAATGAAAATTAAGTAACTTAAGGAACTTGAGAACTAAAATGGCACTATGTACACTTGTAATCATCTACCTCTCCTAATTCAATATACTCAAAAACCACAGATTTCTACACAATGAAAGTACCAATATTAAAGCACAATGCTGCAAAGAGGGTTATATAGTCGAAATATTTGTCTGACAAGGATATTCTCTGCACATCCATAAAATTTGGGCTTCCTAGATCTGTAACCCACACAATGTATGGTTTACAGTATATGGTTTACAGTTTCTGGTTTATAGTGCAAAATTTTTGATGGCTTACATTGTTAATTTTGCAATGTATTGTTTACAATGTATATTTTGTTATGTATTGTCTACAATGTCTATTTTGCTATGTATTGTTTACAATATATGTTTTTCATGAATTGCTTTAAATGTACAATGTACTGTTTGCTACAGTTTGTCCACAATTTACTATTGTTAACAATGCATATTTTATTAGGTATTGTTAACAATAGATATTTTGGTACAATGTATTGTTTTCTATGCATGTCTACAATAAACAATGTTTTACACTGTATGGTTTGCTAGGTATTGTCTACCATATACAAGGTAAACCATTTATTGTCTAAAATATACAATGGTTTACACTGTATGGCTTACAATGTATGGTTTACTATACATTGTCTAAAATATACAATAGTTGACAATGTATGGTTTGCAATGTATTGTCTACCATATACAATGTAAACCATTTGTTATGTACACTGGTTTACAATGTATGATTTGTAGTGTATTGTATACGATATGCGATGGTTTACAATGTATTGTCTACGGTATACAATGGTTTATAATATATGGTTTATATGCATTGTCTACCATATATAATAGTCTACCATATACAATGGTTCACAATGTATGGGTTGATATGTATTGTATACAATAGTTTACAATGTATATTTTGATATGTGTTGTCTACCATATACAATGGTTCACAATGTATGGTTGATATGTATTGTCTACCATATTCAATGGTTTACAATGTATGGTATACAATGTTTGGTTTGATATGTATTGTATAATGGTTTACAATGCATGGTTTGCTATGTAATGTCTACTTTGGTTGAAGATTTACTACTGTTTACTTACTATATGTTTATAGTTTATCGATTTATCATTGACAAGCAAATTTGAAATATGCTAGAAAACTAAATCACCAATTTTTTTTTCAATTAATTAAATAATTGTAGATATCTCTTTATTATTTTTTCTAAATTTAACTGTGAATTTGTACATAAACTTTTGTAATATACAGACCACCAAATAAATAATATTACTTATTGATTTGTCTCTATTATATGTGTTTATCAGTTATCCTTCTGCAGCAAATAAGACACTTGTCTGGCCAACTGAAAGAGATTGTAAAGAAGATTTGTAAACTTTGTGTGTGTTTATCGCGGACAGCATCGATTTGCAACATTTCACTTTTCAGTCACACGTCGTGGGTCTTGCAATTTCACTTTTTATTTGGTCACTATCAGCGGCTTAAGCATGATATCATTGACGCGACGGCCTCCCGAGCACCTCAGCCCCTCTTTCGGATTTAGAGGGCAATAGTCATGGAGGGGGGTCCTGAAAGTTTTTCGAATTTATAGGAAGTCGGATAATACTTCTAACGCGATTTTGGCAATGCCGACGCAACATGAACAATTTTTAACTGCCCTTAATACTCTTAAGAATTGAATTTCGATGCCTGGTTCGCTTGCAATTCGACAATAACCAGGTCTATTACCATTGAAACTAAGACTGAGGATTATGGCCAGTAATATATCCAGAGGGGCAATGGTTTTTTTTTCATTTATATCTATGGACCTGGTTGAGGGCGATCATAGTCTTTGGTTGTAGGACTACACTGTGGTAGGACTTTAGTGCATTGCATAGAACTAGACCCTGGGATTTAATTCAGACAAGTTAACACGCATGGTTAAAGTCGAGCTCTATCAGCTTGTAAAAAAATATTTATACGACTTTAGGCTAACAATGGAGTTGACATTATTGACAACATAAAATATTGTATTACAAAAGCACACAGAAATTTGACACAATGGTTTGTTTGCGTGATCAGATCGCTAACAATAATCTATTTATCTAAGAAGGGAGGTAAATATGTTTATTTTTTAGTTTTTCTAGCTTTAGAATATGATACACTATGAATAACAGGACAAGGAAGAAATTAACATATAAAATCATTCCCAGTATAGCTATATATCAAAGATAAGGTTCTGAGGTTAACGACAACACCAAGGATCCAAATCAAGATATCTGGTTAAAGGTAATCGTTTTTACAAGAAAAAGCTAAGCGTGTTGTAACAAACAACCAAAGTGTTCATTTTGCTTAAATCTAGTAGTTTTCTAACACGAACGAACTTTAAAAAGTTTACGTAAACCTTTTAAATAATTTTGGTGTTAACGGCGGGGATTTTGGTATTTAGTTTTCATAGACTTGAACAAAAAATATTTCATTCTACAAGAAAAAAAGAATGCCACTTAAACAATTAGTACTCTCCGTTTTTAATTAACCCTTTGAAAACAAAATATTCAGTTTGATCAAATAAGATATACATAGATGTAAATAGCATATTTAGTAATGATTTCAATTGTTTTTGATAATGAAAATTTTGCTTACTGCCCCTTTCAGATTTTATATTAGTTAACAAAACAGTTAAAGGGATTGCAAAGAGGTTTTCTGAATATTTTATGTGTATCAGGAACACTGAAAGCACCAATTCAATCAGACCTCTGTGGTTCCTGCAATAAACTAATTAAGTGTTTAATGACGTCACTAATCATAAAATATGCTGTATCACATAAGGACTCCGCGATTTATGACGTCATAAAACTTTTAGTTTTTTTTTTGGAATTACAGGAACCACAGACGTCTGATAAATAAAAAAATAGAATGAATCATATTGATCAAATTGATGCTATCATTGCTTAATAGCATCTATAAATAAATTTATAAAGTAGTACAGAAACGAAAGCCTAACGTATACAAGCAGTAGCTATCAATAAATAAAATTATGTTTCCTATATAACGTTCAGCTTTTTTATATCCCTGTCTTACAGAGGAAGGCGAATTTATTGAAAAGATGGACAAACCTGCAATAATCAAACGCGATGTAGAATTACCAACGGATGCCAGAGGCAAATTGGCTTTTGGTCTGTACGATGTTTTTACACCTGAGGTAAGGACCACAGTTTATGATGTTAATGGTGAGGGTGATTGAAAGGTAACGTGCTATTCAACTGAAGGCACTGGTACAGAGGTAATATAGCAGACGCAGTTCGACTGTCGAAACACTGGTCCAAGAATGAGAATAAAAATTCTTAGCAGTCGACCATGATATTAACACGATTTGTGGCCTCCGCTCCCAAAAAGAGAATGGTAGGGGTCCCCCACTCATTTTTATATTTATTACCTCTTTTACATTGTCCAATAACAAATCTCGCTCAACAAATCTTGCGAAACATTTCTCCAAATTTTTTTGAAGGTCATGATTATGACGACAGATGTCGTTGTACAACCAACATAGAATAATTCAACATTTTGTTATTGAAAATTTGTATTTGAAAATTTGTTGGTAGAGTTTTGTGTTTTGTAAGATATGTTGAGCAAGATTTATAATTGAAGATTTGTATTTGAGGATATTTTTGGCAAGAATTATAATAATTCAATAATTGGAAAACCGGATGATTATCAAAGAATATTCATTTTCAGTACAAATTTTGATTTTTGTATAAAAATGTCAATTTTCAATGACAAATGTTGAATCAAGAGTGCAAATTAAGAGATAAGAATTTAGAATTAAGAATTAAGAAATAGCAATGAAGAACATTGTCATTCCACCTTCCATATTTAAGGAATGCGAGGATTTCATCGAGATAACAGAGAAACGTGGTTATGAAGAAGCTTTGGTAAATATTGGTGCAGGAATGCAGTCATTAATGACGGACATCAGAAATAGCGACCGATGTATCGTGGATTCACATGAGGAAGCAGAAAAAATATGGCAGAGAATTAAAGATTTTATTCCTTCAGAATGGAAAAAACGATCTGTTTTAGGACTCAATGAAAGGTAGCACACCTTTGATTCATATTTTTTATTTTCTTTAATATTGCTATTCCAGTTTCAGCCGAACTGGACAATCACATGTTATTCACATTTTTATGTGGGGGTGGAACAATCTAGTTAATATATAAAGTTAAGTCGTTGAACATTTTACCTCTTTAACTATGGCCTTGAATATACGATATACATAGGGATTCAAAATTCAAGAAAAAAAAATTTCATACATTCATTATTATTCGTTTATTGAATTTCAGATTAAGATTTTTAAGATATGACGCTGGGGGGTTTTTTAAGCCACATTATGACGGAAACTATATTAGAGAAAACGGAGAAAAAAGTTATATTACTATACTACTTTATTTAAATGAGGTAGGACTATTTCCAGTGTTACATATAGTTTCTTTCTACGCTAGAACGAGGCATTTGACTTCAAAGCTACAGTTGCAAGTGTATTACTAACACAAATCAGAATTTCCCTCAAGAAATTTTACGGTCGTCATTTCGACTTCATCGAAATATATCATCATCCGTCCGTTTATGGTATTATCAGAGATGTTTTTGTTTACAGGAGTACTACCTCTTAGTGTGGACAAAAAAGTATCAAACATGGTCAATAAGTATATATATTCATCAGTTAGACCAGGTGCTTTGACTAAAGAATAGAATCTGTACATAACACTATATATCCATTAAACTAAGTAATTATTGAAAACAGCCTCTTAGCTGTGGACTTGAAAGGGTTGGGTTGGGGTGATTGGGTACATGATTTCAATCAGAGGCGTGTTTAGGCAGTAATTTTTAGGCAATGGCCCGCCCCCACTGCTCTCGGATGCAGCAGACACAATTATCTGTTAGTCTCAGTGGTTATAATTTTCAGGGATTTGATGGAGGATCAACAACGTTTTTATCGGCCATGAATGAAGAAGAAAGAGTCGAATTTGTTCCCCAAACAGGTAAGTAGTTAATTAGGAGGTGTTACTATGTTGTAGACATTACAGTATATTTGATGTTCTATCTTGGTCAGTTCGGCCAGAGAACAGTGTTGGGTCAACCTGTGGGCGTGTCTGTCGGGCATATTGCAACGGATAATTTGACTGGCATTAAATATTCTGTACTTTCTGAAATGTGTCAAATAAAATAAACGTTGTTTCAAGTGGTAACAGTTTTGTTTGATCTAGCGAAATTTTTTATGTTCTTTTGGGGGACAAATACAGCAGACGTCTTCCTGGCATGACCTATTGTTTGTCCAATGAGAATGTATGAATTACTCTGAAATATGTTGTATGTGGTACAATTCTATGTTTTATCTAGCATATTTTAAAAAGTTAAAACTTTCAGATACGTTAAGGGACACGTTCCTGTAGATTTTGGTCTATAGTTTTCATAAATTTGACCTACAAAAAACATAATGGCCCTTTGTTTATTTCAGGAACAATATTAGTGTTTCAACATGATATTCTACATGAAGGCTCAAAATTAATAAATGCTAGAAAATATGCCTTGCGAACAGATGTAATGTTTGACAAAAAGAAATAGGCCTATGGAAACCTTTGACGTCAGTCTAGACCAGATGTTTTCATTCTGGGGGGAA